GGACTAATTTCTATCCTAATTACTTCTCCTCCCCGTTACAACCCCACCTCTTCCAAGAAAAGAATTTGGTTTGGCTCTCAATTGCCAGGAAATGCTATTAATCACAATCTCCTATTCCCTGATAATATTATTTAATTGAGGTTGTATTGAGCTATACCATTACTAAAAGCAACAAATACAAAAGTGTGCTTTCTCTTTCTCTCTCTCTCTCTTACTCTGTCTCCCTCCCCCTCTTGCACTTCTGCATGCCCTATTTCTTTCACTCTTATCCTCAAATGCAGGACTCCATTTAAAAGGAAATTATTGGGGGAAATAACAGGGGACAGAGGGGGTAATTCAGTCCTTGGCTGACCTTACCTAGCCTATCGTTTCCACTAAGTACAGAAACACGACAATTTCTATGTGAACTATAGTTGTAAAACTACAATGTGATTAAGAATATTATTGTCGCAGTCTATCAAAGAGCCACAGTACGTGATTTTGCTCCACACTATCTATTTTTAAGCTATAAAATCAATTGCAACCCTTCTCAGTTTTTCAAGGTGTTCTTTCTTTCTTCATTGACTATGAAGAGACATTTTAATAAATTTTAATGTTTTCCACCCAGGTAGAATGTAGAACTTAAAATATTTCTTCTAATTCTGGCTATGCTAACTTAACTTTGGAAATATGAATGGTTTCTTCAATGTATTTCTGAAAAAGTCAACATTATGATTACTGAGTTATTAAATTGCCAGGGCTTTCGCGATATTAAAATATCTCTGCCTCCGTTTCTCTCTGTCTCTCTCTCCTTGTTTCAGTTTGCTACTCAAAATAAATACTCAAAGATTATTTACTATAATTATCCAATTGAATTATATAATTTTATTTCTGAAAATAAAATGTTAGGTGAAATTTACATATATATATCTCTTACCTAAAATTATTTTTTGTACATCTATAAAATGAATTTTTAACATACATGTGGTAAAAATTTATTTTCTTTATATATATGTGTGTTTATGAAGAAATCTAGACAAAAATACAACATATAGGTCTTGGTAGTCTTTGGGCAGTTAGAATTCTTTCTTATCCATTTAAATTTTCTTTCTTATCCACTTAAAATGGTTTCATGTAATGAGCAGATACTGATGTTGTAACTGAAAAAATGTATTAAACTAAAATTAGTCTTTCATGGATGGAATTGAGCATGGTGAAAATAGTGGTGATAAAACAGATTGCTATGCTGAAAGTCTCATGAAACTCTTTTTCATTACATGCTAACTCATTAAACTCAGGAAAGCTGAGGAAACCCAAAAGAACTGTACTCTGATGCAGGCAGGACTGCCAACTGTGCCATAATAGGTTATCTTTCACATCCATCAAAAATCTATTGATCATTTAATAACAGCTCCTCGATTAGGGTGGTTCTTCCAGTGGAAATCCAACTCCTTTAGTTTTCCCTTTTTCCTAATTTTGAGGCATGAAACTTTATAGGAGATTTTGATTCCATGCTCAATCCTACATCTCACCTTACAGCCTCTTTGTTGGTAATGACCTTGCTTTCATCATGCTTTGCCATGCCAGTCAGCCCATTCTCATCCTAAAGTGCCCAAAGAAACATAAACTCCTAACAGGTCTTCTGTTTCTCTGCTCTCCTTTCTTCCATTCATTTCACACATGCCCACCCAATTTATCCTTTTAAAATGTTACTTTAAATATATGACTCATATGCTGAAATCTCTTTAGGGAGTCTCTCTGACATGAGAAGAAAACCCACACCCTTTAGCCTAGAATTCAAAGCTCTTGGACAGCTTTGGCTGCCCCAAGTCCCCTAATACAGCCTCTGCTAAACCAGAATAGCCCACTGAATAAATGACCTTGAACTTCAACACTATCAAGTGCTGGCTCTTCCTGTTTCTTCTGCCTGGAATCACTTACCTTGCAGTTTCTACCAGTCTGACTCCTATAAAGCCAAGTTTAGATTCCACACTTCAGATGCTGTTGGCCCACTCAACCCCTAAGATAACTCCCCCCCCTGCTAAAGTCCTGTCCTACCAACTCGGTTGGAATGTATTTTATGCTACTTGACTTTTTTAGTGAACATGGATGCTTCCTCCCAGCTAAATGGTAACTGCCTTAAGACTGAGGGTTATATTTTATCTTTGGTATTTTAAAATTATCTAAAACTATGCCTCTTCAGGAATCCCTTAAGAAGTGCCACACAGTAAGTATTTTTTAATTAACTGAAACTTTAACCATCATGTTTTCTAAGCATTTTGGAAAACATGCAAAAGTATAACACTCCCCATTTTTCTTTTTAGTAAGTGTTTAACGATAAGTAAGTAATATTTGAGTTAACCATTATGAAAACCACAAAAGTAAGTTTACCTTTTGCACAACTTCCTGTTTCTGAAAATGTCCTTTTCTCATTGAGTATGTTTAGCTAGAGCATTTAAAAAGTTTGTCCAAAACACACAATCATGGCTTGCCTTTAGCAGAAATAATGTGTGTTCCTGCTTCTCTTTGTAAATAATTGAATTTGCCTCTGCAGTTCAAGAAGATCACGATTTCTTTTTGTGTGTGAAACTGACTTGCTTCTGTTTTCTCCTTATGTGCAGCAGACTATAAGGCAGAAGAAACCCTGTGCAATTGGGATATGGTGAGTAGGGAGGATAATAGAAGAGATTGACATGACTTCCATAGAAGAGTTATTTTTAAGTATAGAGAATGCCTGTCTATCCCCATGCTGAAAGAGCCTTTAGAAAATATTACCGGGATTGAAAGGCGGTGGGGGCAATTCCCATCACCTGGGATAGCCGTGCCAGTCGGCGGAGTGTTGCTGCCACCTGCTGCATGCAAAGAGCCATGGAGGGGCTGTCGCCTGGGTCTTGCAGCTACAGGACACCCGATGTGAAAGCATTCAGTTAATATTCTGTGGCCGCACATCTGAAATTGTTATACTCTCAGAACCTGGTTGGGTCCCAAAGCAAAATTAGCTAAATCTGATGTCTTCAGGCCATAGAATTTTCTAGATATAAGAATCATGAACTAAGCCCTGAACAATACCCAGAGGACAGATTTGTCACATAGCCACTAAATGCATGGCTCAGGTAGCCCAGCCCCAATGAGAGGCAAGAATTCTGCTGAAAGTAAGTCTGTAGCACTGGAAAATAAACAACCATTTCCATGTTTCTGAGTTTACAGACTTTTTTGGAACAATTACTTCACTTTAATACAATAATAGATAGGAGAAGTCTAAATACCCCAAAGAGGGTATTGTTCTTAGAGAATTCGATAAATGTAGATTTGCATTGGTTTCTATTAGGTAAATTCCTCTTAATTATGAAAAACGGAACGAGATCATAGAATCCCTTCTCTGGGCTTGTAATGTGTCCCGATTTAATAGGGATGCCAACGTGCAAATCAGGATCTTCGTAGTGCATCTCCAGGACTGTTTCTGCTGCTATGCTTCATAATTTTGATTTACCAGAATTTCCAGGGGCAATGGGAAGAGATGTAGCTACCCAGAGCAGTTATGTCTCTTCCTGCCCCTCTATCAAAGACTTTGAGTTCCCCAGCCTTCCCTGGAAAATCACTGTCAGCACCACCTGACCCAATATCCCCAGTGACCTGAAACTCATGGGAAGTTGGGAAGGGGCGATAATAAAGGTTTGGGGAGCACTGGACTAGGCAAGCAGTAACTACCTCTTCTAAATTCTGCAAGAAATCATTAGCTGAGGAATACTGAATAAGTATGGCAATTACCATGGCAAGTATTTGCGGCGGTGGTATAGGGGGTGGTCTGGACATCCAGGAAGACAGTAGCTGTTATTTATTTACATGACAATCCCTCTTCTCCCATCTAAATTTAATCTCCTGAATGGCAAAAGCATTTCCTTGTGTCTTAGCATCGTCCATATTCCCCACAAGTCCTTGCATGGAGAGATTGGTGTATAGATGATAACAACCTGACCAAAATTATCTGCACCTCACCTGAAAAGAATTCCCATCTCAGGATTGCAATTGGCCTTTTCATTTGTCTTTGGTCTTGCTAGGTGGTACCTATATCCTAGTAATGAGGTTAGGGTCACAGTATATTTTAATCATGCATACGGTATGTATGAAGACACACATGTTTATTTGTAGTTATTCTTTGTCCATCAAACTTACGGTAGTCTTCAGCCTAATGCTTGTTTTCTTAATGTTGGAGGGTGATGACAGCCTATTTTATCTCAGGCTGAAAAACTAATACAATTAAATCAATCAGAGAATCATAACAGGGAATAGTCATCATGTTCTTCTACGAATAACCAGACATTTTTACCAAGGGGTCACTTTCCTGAAACTTGTTTGCGGTTCTCTGTAAATAGAAGTAACTAGGCAGATGTTATAAGCCTAATAGCTCACTGAGGTGGGAATTCTCTGCCTTTGGATTCTGATTGTTACTGCGTTGCTTTGGCTTAGGCATGGATAAGCTCTTCCGTGGTGAGCAAAAATGGCCTCCAGCCAACCCGGTGGGAGACCTCCCTATCTGACTTCCAACCTTCGCAGACGAAGGGTAGAAAAGTAGCCCTCACTCCTCCACTCCCAGGAAATGTGCATTTCCCTGCAAGAGGAGAGACAATAACAGTTGGTTTGATAGCTGACACTATTCCCTGTTACTTTTCAGATTTTATTAAAATTAAATGTGTTAATTCTTTGTTCTTTCACCCCAGGGCAATTCTGGAAAGAAAACATATCTTAAGATTGAACAGAAAAACTATTATGAAAGACACCAAGCTCACATTTGTTAAATGACTTTGTGCTCTTGAAAAGAAATGTATAAAAAGCACATTGCCAACTGCTCTGCGTGATATCCTTTGTTTAGATTTTAGACGCTGCTTGACTGACACAGAGATCCTGAATAAGAGACTCTTTGGATACTGAAAAGTCTTTTAAAGAAGGTGATATACAGATTTCAGAGAACAATTTCAACCTTGTTCTATTGAAGGTTATACTCAGTCCTGAACCACATTACTTTCCTGTCTACGTTTCATTTCCTGGGGGCTTGCCAAGTGATAAACAGACCCAGGCGTGTGTGGTAGATTTGGGTTTTTTTAGCACGAAGTGGGTGGCTGGGGTTTGCTTGAAAACATCAATTGACTTAGTGATCATTACGGAAATGCTGGTGTAAGGTGTTCAGAAGACAATGGAGAAAAAATGGAAATACTGTGCTGTCTATTACATCATCCAGATACATTTCGTCAAGGGTAAGACTTCCAGTTGTCCCTTCTTGTCGGATGGGCCTCTTTAGGGGCGGATGGGGCCTCTGTTCATTTAAAATGCCTTGTGACTGCTGCTGAAATTGATCACCAAAGGACAAATCATTACTACGGGTTTCAGTTACGTATTTCAGTGGCAGGTATAGGAGAGATGCTAGAATCTAGAAATGATTACTAATGCACACTAAAAATAAGAAGGGAATGGGTCGTTTGTGCCACTGCTCTGAGGCATTTTCACCCATTTCCTTTCTAACAGGATCTCTGGAGTAATTGGGAAATTGTGTTTCTTGGAAATGAAATGCTTTCCAAATGGTAGTCAAAACAACTGCGGAAAAATTAAAAATCACAAAGCCGTCAACGCTCAGAGATCCTTGCTTCACTTTTTTCTCTCTCAAGTACTCTTTTTCTTTTGGATATAACAAGTATTTCTCCTCCAAATACTAAGGTCTTTGGGAGTTGAATGCACGTTGAATTTTAATGAGGCATGTGTAGGTAGGAACCTGGGAGACAAAGTGGAATCCTTATGACAGTAGGAACAAGAGCCTAATGGGCCTATTTAAAAATAGAAGGAAGATTAGTTCTGTATTCCACAGTATGAGAGTATTATCGTAAGCCTGAGTGTCTGAAGAATTAACTGTGCTTTTCAGATATAGCTATGAAAATATTAAGGAGAATCTCTAAATCAAAGGAGATTTGGAATATAATGCTGTAGATAGGATCAGAGCCATATTTTCAGGCAAAGGACAGCTCACAAGAAGTTACATTAAACTGTACTAACCTCTGCCTACCAAACTTTTGCATCCACAGAAGTATGATAATTCCCATTTGTCAAGTCCTTTTTACTTTTAAGAGCCTTGTTTCTTCTCAGTTGCTTGTCGTCTTTTTATCTTTTCCTTTTGTGAGCTTCAGTGGTACTTGTCACAATAATATATATCATTTCTGTAGCAGGATTCCATGTTAATTCTAAAACTGAGGCCAACACTATTGAAGGCATGTCACAGTCTCAATGCTTACCACATTTTAAGTGTCCTGTATCACTTGGTCAGACTGCTGATGGGGAAGAGACTCTACTTATGTCTAGTATTTCAGACCATCAATTAGAGGTGATACTAAGTGGAGCCTCTACCTAAGGTTAGATGAGGTCCTTTCAATCCTTATATATTGAAAGTGAAATTTCTTACTCTAATC